GCTACCCCGTCAGTGCCTCTAGCCGGTTTGGTGTGGTGGTTAAGTGCACGGACTCTAATCTGGGAGAACCGGGTTTGATTCCCCACTCCTCCACTCGCAACTGCTGGATGACCTTGGGCAAGCCATAGTTCTGTCTGAGCTGTTCTCTCAAGGACAGTTCTGGAAAGAGCTCTCTCAGCCCCAACTACCTCACAGGGTGTCTGTTGTGGCGAGAGGGGAAGGGAAAGGAGTTTGTAAGCCGCTCTGAGACTCCGAGTGAAGGGCGAGGTATAAATCCAATCTCTTCTTCTTCTTTTACCTCACAGGGTGTCTGTTGTGGGGAGGGGAAGGGAAAGTAGTTTGTAAGCCACTCTGAGACCTCGAGTGAAGGACGGGGTCTTCTTCTTCTTCTTCTTCTTCTTCTTCTTCTTCTTCTTCTTCTTCACTCAACACAGATTTCCACCACTGGGCACACCACAGCTCCCAGCTTCTGTCCCCACTGTCACAACCCCCAGTCTTAGTGCATCTCCCTACCGCCCCCCCCCCCCCCCCCCGCACCTGCTGCCAGGAGCAGCTGAGCTACCTGTCCTCCACCACTGCTGCAGCTGCAGCTCCCAACCTCTGCCTCCAACAGAGAAGGTAGGTGTTTGGGGGGATTTAACCCCCAGCAATGTCTTTTTCAGCCATTTTCAGATTTCTCTGCAAAACTGGAGAGGAATTTCAAACAGACGATATAATCCAGAAGAGGAACGGTTCCCAAATGGTTTCTGGTCTGTCATTTCAGACAGAACCGTTTTAGAACCGGTTCCCTACCGGAATATATTTGTAATTTCACACACAAACGCTTCTGTCCCATTTAGGAAACAGGGCTGAAGCGTTTTACCTGTCAACCGCTTTCAAGTAGTCTTCAGTTTCCTCTCCTGGTTCCGATGCGCTTCCCCCCCCCCCCGTTTTTCGCCCACGCGGGCGATCTCCGGCTTTTTTTTGGGGGGGGGAACGTTCGCTTTATACTGTTATAGCGCTATAACGGTATAATGCAACAGCATTCTATCAACCCCATTGGAATGCCTGGAGTGTTATCTTATAGCGCTATAATGATATAAAGCGAATGTTTAAAAAAAAGCCGGAGATCGCCCGCGCGGGTGAAAAACGGCGGGGGGAAAGCGGGAAAAAGTGGTGCAGTCTGAAATGGCAAACTGCTTCAGATCCAGCTCTTTACCGGAAGGGGAAAGCCATGTGTGAAGTGGCAGCCCTATACCAGTTTACTTCACGACGGATCAAAAATGGCTTCAAACCGGCTTAAAAAGGGTAATGTGAAATTCCTCTGGAGTGTCCCCAGGTTTGCAGAAGGATCTGTTTTCTGTCAGTGTGGCCCACATCCACAGATTTAAGTAGCTGCAGATGGGGTCACCCTTCACTATCAGAAAATTATAGGTAGATTATAGGTATAGATACACACACATTTTGTATTATTAAACATACAATATAAAATCTGCATCAGGGTTACAGGGACTCCATATCAAGAAAGTTGCATTCTGCAGCCTGTATGAATTATGCACGTCTGCAAAACTTCTCCTGTTGTGCATCATTTATTCAGTCGTTTCTCCTCACCAGTTTGCATAATTTGTTCTATTTTGGCTAATCAGGGGGGAGGGACAAGAAATTATGCAGTGCAATGAAGCCCCACCCAATCGGATCCATCTACAGGACTTCTGGCTTCTGAGATTTTACCATTCCATGCACATTTTTGCAGTCATAAGGACTAGAAAGTTGCTTTTTTAAAAAAAACCCAACATTTGTCATTCTCAAAAAGCTGAGAGTTATACTTGCATAGAAGCATACACCCAATTGGGTCTAAAAGTCTGGCCCAAGGAGGACAGATCTTGTCAAAACTAGTATGGGTGGAATGAAATGTACATTAATCCATAGTACTAAGGCATTCCCTTTCATTCTTTTTCACAGGCAACCCCTGGTGTTCAGGTGCACTTTACTGATATGTTCGGAATATTTTAAGACGGAGTGGGAAAGTATGCAAGGCAATAGTCGAAAGAATATACCAAAGATGTTGTGGAAAAGTATGCAAGGCAATAGTCGAAAGAATATACCAAAGGCGGGGAAAGTATTCTTTAAACAAAAAAGTGTTGTTTTATTCTTCTCTCACACACCTTTTCCCCCAGTATATTTTTCTAAATCACCCCCCCCCTTTTCCCCTGCACTTGGACTTCCTCTGTGTGGGAGTGGGCCCTACTTCCTGCAGCAGCCATTTTGTGGTTGGCCCCACCTCTTCTGGCAGCCATTTTGTGGGTGCACCCACTACCCTGTATCAGAATTCCAAAGGTGCCCATGGCCTCACAAGGGTTGGAGATCCCTACTACAAACCATCCCAGCAACTTATTAAATGCTGCAGGGTTACACACACTTATCCTTGTTCCCAAGCTGATGAAGTCCCTGAATCCAGGGGAAAACCTTTTCCACCTGATAATTCCACAAACATCATGTGAATCAACATCTCCTGAAGAGAAGAAGAAGAGCTGGTTTTTATACCATGCTTTTCTCTACCCGAAGGAGTTTCAAAGTGGTTTACAATCGCCTTCCCTTCATCTCCCCACAGCACACACCTTGTGAGGCAGGTGGGGCTGAGAGAGTCCTGAGAGAAACGTGACTGGCCCAAGGTCACCCAGCAGGACTCATGTGTCTCAAAGCAGCTTACAATCGCCTTCCCTTCCCCTTCCCTCCACAGGCACCTTGTGAGGCAGGTGGGACTGAGAGAGTCCTGAGAGAAACGTGACTGGCCCAAGGTCACCCAGCAGGACTCATGTGGAGGACTGGGAAATCAAACCCAGTTCTCCAGATTAGAGTCCACCGCTCTTAACCACTATACCACGCTGGCTCTCTAAGCCACAGGTATCTACACTGCTCTCTCTCCATACCAAAACTAATGCTGTCCTGAAAGAGCTGAGTGCAAGACACAAAGAACCATACCCTCCCTTACAGCCCCCTTTTTGCCTTGCCAGCCTAGGATTAGGTCCAAAATCATTATATTAGAGTGCACATTAGGAAGGCAGTGGGACCTCTGGCCTGGATCCATGAGAAAGCTACAGAGGGGTGTGAACGGTCACAAACTGAAGGTTCCACCCTGCCGCTCTAACCGGGCGCACAGCTGACACAGCCTCCTTTCGGGCAGAAGAGAGAGGTCCAAATGCCAGAGCACAGTGTAAATTGGTTGTGGGAGGGTAATTATTCAGAGGCAACCTATCAAAGACTAGATCAGGCTCAGACCCTGAGCAAGAAAAGGGTCCAATGCCCTGTCTTCTGGTCCCATTGGCCAGATTGTGCACCAATTTGTTTTTACACAGTTAAGTGAGAGCCAGTTTGGTGTAGTGGTTAAGTGCGCGGACTCTAATCTGGGAGGACCGGGTTTGATTCCCCACTCCTCCACTTGCACCTACTGATGTGACCTTGGGTCAGTCACAAGCTCTGGCACAGCTGTCCTTGAAAAAGAGCAGTTTCTGTCAAGAGCTCTCTCAGCCCCACCCACTTTGTGTCTGTTGTGGGGAGGGGAAGGGAAAGGAGTTTGTAAGCCGCTCTGAGACCCCAAGTGAAGGGCACCAATCTCTTCTTCTTCTTCTTCTTCTTTAGAGTCCAGTGGCACCTTGAAGACCAACAAAGGTTAATTCAAGGTATGAGCTTTTGTGTACAAGGCACACTTTTTCAAATATGTTGGAATGGCAGTTAAGAGCAATTATTCTTTTTCTGTTTGTGGCCTCTGGTGCTGAGTAGCAATGCTCCCTCTAAGCAGTCGTGTCTTGTGAGCAAAAATTCTACTTTGTGAGCTAGTGGCATGAAAGTTGTGAGCCAGCGATTTGGCTACTGCATAAATTAGTTTGCTCTGGAGCCACATCCTTCCTGAGCGGAGGCAAAAATGCGTGCGCCGGAGGCTAAAAAACTGTGAGCTGGCTTACACTAACTCAGCTTAGAGGGAACACTACTCAGTAGTACTGTTTATGTGCTCTCCTCTTTTTTCACTCTTTTTCAGATTATGCGCCGTCCAGCTCTTGCCCGAGGCCTGCTTCTGACTAGGGTTGCCAACTTCCAGGTGGGGCCTGGACATCTCAAATGAGAAGTCCAGACTAGAGAGAAAATAGATGCTTTGGAGGGTAGACTCTACTATGGAATGACAGCCCACGAAGGCCCCTCCTCTCCAAGCCCTTCCTCACCCTGAAATCGCCAGGAATCTTCCAACCCAAGGGCAGCAACTCTAATTCCCACATACTGGGGTTGTTTTTTGTACTTGTACACCTAACACACTGAACAAACAAACTTGAAAATGTAAAGTGTGAACAAAAGAGGGATGAATCGGCATGTGTGTACATCTGACACATAGCCTTGTAAAAGAACTAGGACTGGCCATGTCTTTCTTTCACCAGCAAAGTTTAATTTAAGGAACACTACATTGGGAACATTTGGCTATCTCAGGAGAATATATAGTTGACTAGAGAGAAGTACTACTAGACATGTGATTGCACTGGAGGTTTCATTTGTATTTTTGCCCAGTGGTTAAACTTTGAAACAATTGTTTTCTGGTCTTTATTCCATATTCTGTATATGTATGATTGTATATATTTCTACATATTAGCTAACATGTTCTATTTGTATTAGACCTCTGAGGAAGGCCTGTGAAGGCCAAAACGCATTAGGTCTATTTTATCAGCCTTTGTATTTTTGTATTTTTATATTTGTATATGAGGTATGAATGGGCCCTTATTTGTTCTTTTAATTTGTGTTCAATAAATATATGTATATTTTTGTATATTTCTGTATGTTTCATAATTAGATTTTTAGAGTTGGCCTTCTTCTATTCCTGACTAACCTTTTTAGGTTCTGAATTCTAGGTTTTAGGTTCAGTTTTTTTCTTTTCCCTTTTCTTGTCCCAACATGTCTTCCTTTCACCAGCAAAGTTCTGTAACATGTGAAAGGGCCTTTGAGACTGATAGTTTTCAAAAGTGTAGTCACTTCCTTACCACGGCACATTCCACTTTGGCGCACTCTCCCTTCCAGCAAGAGACCTGCCCTGTGTCGCACACGCAGAACTCGCACCGAGGGCCGCTCCACATCTCTTTGTGGTATCTAACAGAGCCTTCATGTACGCAGCTCCCCTTGGCAGGCACGCACTCCTCACAGCATTTCTCCGGACGCCTTGCTTTGCTCTCTCCCTAGGAATAAACGGAGCAAGAGGCTGAAGAGAAGAGATTTTTGCAAAGGAACAGTTAAAGGTTTTCCACCCTTCATGTGGCACCTGGAGATCTCCCGCTATTACAGTTGATCCCTGGAGGATCAAGATCAGTTCCCCTGGGGAAAGTGGGTGCTTTGGAGGGTGGGCTCTATGGCCTTAGACCCTGCTGAGGTCCCTCCCCTCCCCAAACCCCCGCCCTCCCCAGGCTCCACATTCTTCAGGTATTCTCCAGAGCTGGCATTGCTAAACATTTAAAGCTGTACTTTTGTTGTTCAGTCTCACAGTCGCGTCCGACTCTTTGCGACCCCATGGACCAGATCACGCCAGGCCTTCCGGTCTGCCGCCGTCCTCTGAAGTTGGCTCAATTTCATGTTCGTTGCATCTATGACACTGTCTAACCATCTCATCTTTTGCCGTCCCCGTCTTCTTTGACCTTCAATCTTTCCCAGCATCAGGGTCTTCTCCAGTGAGTGCTCCCTTCTCATTTGGTGGCCAAAGTATTTGAGCTTCAGCTTCAGTATCTGGCCTTCAAGGGAACAGTCAGGGTTGATTTCCTTTAGGATTGACTGACTGATTCGATCTCCTTGCAGTCCAGGGGACTCTCAGGAGTCCTCTCCAGCACCATAATTCAAAAGCATCTATTCCTCGGCGCTCGGCCTTCCTTATTGTCCAGCTCTCGCAGCCATACATTACTACTGGGAGTACCATTGCTTTGACCATACGGACTTCTGTTGGCAGGGTGATGTCTCTACTTTTTATCATGCTGTCTAGGTTTGCTGTACAGTGATACGCAATGATAATTTATATACATTGTGTAGGCAGCTACAATACGTCTGTGCATTTTCCTTTGCTAAGCTTTGCCGCTTGGGATGTGGAATGGTATAGTATAGGCCAATCTGGTCAGGTCTCAGAAGCTAAGCAGGGTTGGTACTTGGATGGGAGACCACCAAGGAAGACTTTGCAGAGAAGGACAATGGCAAACCACCTCTGCTTAATCGCTTGCCTTGAAAAGCCGATGGAGGTAGGTCCATCAGTGGCTACTAGGCATTAAGAAACAAGGGAACCTCCATATTCAGACACTAAACCTCTGGATCCCAGTGCCTGAAAGCAACATCAAGGGAAAAGCTTGGCCTCTCTGCCCTGTTGTTGGCCCTTCATAATAACTGGTTGGCTACTGTGTGAGAAAAGATACAGGACTAGATGGACCACTGGTCTCACCCAGCAGAGCTCTTCTGATGTTTATACAAGTGCCTAATAGTACCATGGGCCGCAGTGGCTCAGAGGTTAAGGCGCTGAACTGCAGACCGGGAAGGTCTGTAGTTCAGCAGTTCAAGACCCGAGTGCTGCATAATGGAGTGAGCTCCCGTCTCTGACCCCAGTTCCTGCCAACCTAGCAGTTTGAAAGCAAGAAATTGCAAGTAGATAAATAGGTACTGCTTTGGAGGGAAGGTAACAGCATTCCGCGCGCCTTGGCGTCTAGTCATGCCGGCTACATGACCTTGGAAACGTCTTCGGACAGCGCTGGCTTTTCGGCTTGGAAACGGATACTGGCACCACCCCCTAGAGTTGGACTCGACTGGCTTTCAAGCAAGGGAAACCTTTACTTTTTAACAGTACCATCTTAAGTGCAGTTTCACAGCCTGCTGTGGTCAACAGACTCGGAACGTTTACTGCCTCCGACTCTTCATACCACTGATGGACCTATCCTCTACGAATGTATCTAATCCCTTTTTAAGCCATCTATGCTTGTGGTCATCACTAGATGACTTTGAAAGAGAATTAGAGGAGGATCAGTGAAATTAGATAAAAGGGGGATTAGATAAACTCATGGAGGACAGGTCGCTCAGTGGTGTCGAAAGGGAACTAGGATTGCCCAATGGAAGGCAGATGGTCCTCACAGCTTTCCTCTGGACATCTCAGTTTGTCCTCCCTCTAGGAACCATGGGAGAAAAAAGACAGTGGGAGAAAATTGTACTGGGGATTTGACAGTACTCATGTAGAAGACTTGAACTGCTGAACTACCTGAGCGTTCTTTTGGAATGCCTCGTTATTTTCCCGGAATCGTATATTTCATGTCTGCTGGTGGTAGAAAGTGCCCTTAAGTCACTTAAGCGGTGGGGTTTTCAAGGCAAGAGGCATTCAGAAGTGGTTTAAGAACATAAGGGAAGCCATGCTGGATCAGGCCAATGGCCCATCCAATCCAACATTCTGCGTCACACAGTGGCCAAAACCCAGGTGTCATCAGGAGGTCCACCAGTGGGGCCAGAACTCCAGAAGCCTTCTCACTGTGGTCCCCCAAGCAACAAGAATGCAGCCACAGACAAAGTGTTCCATCTATACCTTGTGGCTAATAGCCACTCATGGATCTCTGCTCTATAGGTTTGCCATTGCCTGCCTCCGCATCATGACCCTGGTATTCCTTAGAGGTCTCTCGTTCAAATACTAGACAGGGCTGACCCTGCTTAGCTTCTGAGATCAGGGTAGCCTGGGCTATCCGGGTCAGGGCTTTGTGTCTGCTGCACATTAAAAAAAAAGTCCTGGTACAGTGTACAGACAAGCAAATCCACTTCATAAGGGGAGAGAGAGAGAGAGCATGATAACAAACTCCCGGTTTCTAAGCAAGGGGTTTACCTTCTCGCAAGTCAGTGGGCTGCAGGTCTGTCGGAGACACCTGGTCTCACCTCGGTCACATATACAAGTCGTGCAGGCATCTTCCTGCCACTGTTCTCCATGCTGTAAAACAAGAAGGGGCATGCATGTTTCGACCACCCCGGTTTATAATTACTGCTGATCTCCATGTAATTATCCCAACGGGGTGTGTTTTTTTTAATGGATTCAGGTGGGCTGCATTCGTGCAGGTACAAGCCACAGCTTTTAAAGGAAAGGATGAGCCAGCAGTTAAAAGGTATTTATTGGGCATTCCTATCTCATTATTGGTCCCATTTTTTGTATAATACAAACACACCTTATTTTCATGTGCTCTAGGCCTCATAAGGTCACCTGAGTGACATGGGATTGAGCTATGTGAAGCAAGTCCCAGGTATGAATTGATGCTTTCAAAGCCCCCCCCCCCATCTGAACTGGCTTCCCATTCATTTCTGAGGGTAGCCAAGTAGGTCTGCAGAAGAAGAGCTAGATCTGAGTGCACGAGCACCTTAGAGACCAAACTAAAATCTAGTCTAATGCATCTGATGAAGAGAGCTGTGTTTCTCGAAAGCTTATACTACGATAAAGTTTCGCTGCGGTCACACGGAGCATTAGGCACGCTAGAGAGACGGAAGATAGGCGGATTTTCCGGGCGCGATCTCACCGCCACATCTGGGAAGCGTAGAGCTCCCGTGGCTCAACCGAGGCTTCCCTCCGAAGATGCACGGCAAAAAACTAGTACCTTCGGAGGGAAGCCTCGGTTGAGCCACGGGAGCTCTACGCTTCCCAGATGTGGCGGTGAGATACTAGTTTCCGGAAACCGCGGGGCAAGGGTGGGTGTCTGATTGCATTTCCGGTGGCATCCAGCGCCCGCCCATGTCCCCTCGCAAACAGGTCATTTTTTTTCCCCCAAGGCTCCACGGATGCGCACAAGCACCCAACGGAGCATGCGCACACTTCAGTTTAAAAAGGTTAAAAAAAAAAACATTTGCCGCGCCACCCCGCTTCTTTGCCTGTGGTGTGATCGGCACCTCCCCCCTAGCCATGGGACCTCAACCGGACATCTGATCTCGCAGTCGCGTGTTAGTTTGCCCCGGGGCAAACAGCCACGCTTCCCCCCCCCCCCGCATTTTCCAGCCCGTGTGACCGGGGCCTTTGTTAGTTTTAAAGGTGCTACTGGGCTTTTTTACTTCTTTGCAGCAACAGACTAACACGGCTAACTCCTCTGGATCTAGAACTTTACAGTGCGTTCAGTGCCTCTTTGATTATAAAAGGCACAGCTCCGACCTTGATCAGCAGTGCCCGTCATCCCACCGCCGCCACCCACCCCTTCCCAAAATATGTTAACAGTAACGGTCTTATCTATGTCGGCTTGTGTGAACCGAGTTACCTCTTGCCAGCACATTCCTTTCTAATCCCTTTCAACTCACGGGGCTTCCCAGTGAGAAGAAAAGGAGCAAGTTATTAACGCTGGCAGAAAAGCAGGGTGCTGGGGGAGGAATGGAGATGTGTGCCGTATCGCCAATGTCATGTCAGCTCTTGTGCGTTCATCAAAGGGTTACCTCGAATGCTCTCCCTGACACGGAGCAGGATTTTGGAATGCACTCTGGGCAGCATTTTCCAGTAGGTACAGCCACTGTTTCATCCTAAATATCATAAGGATGGGAGGGAGACACAAAGAAGCCACATGTAAGACCTGGGAAAGAGAAGATTTGATTGTTTGTTTGTTTTATTGTTTGTTTGTTTGTTTATTTTAATCATTCAGCCACCACTACTGACACTGCTACTGCTCACTCACTTGCTAGTGGTCCGTCACCCGTGGTCCATGCTGCATGCGCTCCCCAGCGATGCTCCCTCTCAGCTGCGGAGTCCTGTGAGCAAAAATTCTACTTTGCGAGCTACCGGCATTAAAGTTGTGAGCGAGCGATTTGGCGACTGCATAGATTAGAGCTTGCTCTGGAGCCACATCCTTCCTGAGCGAAGGCAAAGATGTGTGAGCCGGTGGCTAAAAAACCCGTGAGCTGGCTCACACTAATTCAGCTTAGAGGGAACACTGCGTCCCCCAGTGCCACTGTGGAAAGGACTGCGGGCAGCTGTGAACACAGGAGGCGAGAGGGCTCACGGGCAGACAAGAGAAGGACACACAAGCGTGTGGAAGGAAAGAGGGGAGGCGGAAGGGAAGGAGGGCACGAGCCGGAGGCCTGATCCTAGGCAGAGGATGGGAGTGAACCCGGGGGACTGTCTTCCACGGGGGGCCTCAGAGCCTAGAACCAGCCCTGAAATAAGTCCAGCTCTTTGCTGTGTGTGTGTGGGTCTGTGAAGTACCGTCAGGGCTATTTTGGGGCAGGAACGCACAGGAACGGAGTTCCAGTTGGCTCCCAAGTTGACCACGCCCAGCAGGAACTCATTTGCATAATAGGCCACACCCAACAGCAGAAACTCATTAGGATTGGCTACATTAGGGGTGTGTGGCCTAACATGCAAAGGAGTTCCTGCAACAAAAAAAGGCCCTGGGTTTTGACAACAAACAAGGTAAACAGAATAACAAGCAAAAGGTGGGTGTGGCTGGATGACCACACTTCTGGTAACATGGGGGGGCGGCCTAATGTGCTAATGAGCTGTGCTGTCAAGGGTGTGGCCCAATATGCTAATGAGTTCCTGCTGTTGGGGGTGGCCTATTATGCTAATGAGTTCCTGCTGGGCTTTTTCTACAAAAAGAGCCCTGAATACTGTCAAGTCACTTCTGACTTACGGAGGCCCCATCAGTTAATGGCCTCCAAAACGTTAACAGCCTTGCTCGGGTCTTGCAAACCGAGGGCTGTAGGCTTCCTGGACCAAGTCCATCCATCTCATCTGGGGTCCTCTTTTCCTGCTGCCTTCAGCTTTTCCCAGGATGATTGTCTTTTCCACTGACTCTTGTCTTCTCATAATGCGACCAAAGTACGAGAGCCTCAGTTGAGTCGTTTTAGCTTCTGGAGAGAGAAGCTCTAGGCTCGCCCGGGGAATAAAGAAAGCACCAACTTTAAAACAGGAAAGAAGAATAAGTACCGTAGGATTTCCCCCATTAAGGTTAATGTGTTTTCCATTAGAGCCTCTTGTTAGGAAATCTATCAAACGTTCTCAAAATTAGCTAAAGGGGGGGATTTAGTGGCTGCCTCGGCATTAACTCAGGGCCTCCCAGCCTGATTATTCACACCCCGCCTGAGTCGACAATACGAGTCTTCAAAGTTCCACGGCATTCTAATGACCGGCTGATTAAACATCTGAGTGATCAATTGCGGGATAACAGCACTTTGAAGACGAGGGGAGGGATAGAAATCTTTCGGAATCTCCCTTAAAATTCTTCCGAGGCTCGTCTCGTCGAGTCACGAACGGCAGCAAAGCGTTTCATGTCTCAGTGAGCCAAAACAAAGTATGGATATTATTTTTGCCGTCCCTGATGGGAAATGAACCGGGATTAGTAACTGAACACCTGGCTCCTTAAAATGCGGTTGGGAGAATGTTAAAAGGGGAGGGGGGGAGAGAACGCTTTACGATGGGAAGATGATGAGGTTTGCCACCACGGTTTCCGTTACGACCCTCGATGACTAACCTCCCACATCAAGGGAGCTGTACTGCTGAATATAAAACAGGAATGTGCTGAAGAGCACAAAACTGCAACCTCCCGACACCAATGGTTAAGGCAGAGTTTAGTGAATTCGGCGCAGGTCAGCCGGCAGCGTTTCTGCTGCGCTCCACACTGAGGAACTGAAATGCTCCCACAGGTAGTGGGGGAAGGGAACAATGGCCTTCCTGCTTGGATTGGAAGGTCATTGAACGTACAAAACCTGGTTAGGGGCCGAAGGATCTGAGAGCCCCCATTAGGAGACATGTGGACCCCTGTTCTAGCTGAGCCTAAGGCCTAATTTAGACATTTTACTTCCTGTGTTCTTGGTTGGTGAGGTGAAGCATGGTTAGTCCTTGCCACATTTGCCATCAGAGATGGTAACACGCATCGTAATTAAAAAAACCCTTCCTCTGTGATAGTTCCTCCCCTCCCCACTTTCAGAGCTAACCTTCTAAAGGAAGTTGTAGAAGCTATACCGTAAAACTTTGAAGGAGAATCATAGATACAGGAGGCCAGACAGTCTCCATTGGTTTGGATGGTTTGGATTCAGAATACAATGCCCAGGTGAATTTATTTCGTCTCTGAAAGCCTCATCGTCCATGAATATAGTGCAAATGTTCGAAATGTCGAAAACTAAAAAGATCCCACCGAATCATCACCGAAATCTTGTGATGGATTCCTGAAGTGGCATGCTCAATATTCCAAATGCGTGTGGTAACCTTTGCAAATGGATATGTCGCATGAAAACAAAAAACTGCATATGTTAAGGGTAATGTTTAAAGCAGGGGCCACGGTGGCTCAGAGGTTAAAACACTGAGCTGCAGACCGGAAGGTCTGTAGTTCGGCAGTTCAAGACCTGAGTGCCGCGTGATGGAGTGAGCTCCCGCCTCTAGCCCCAGCTCCTGCCAACCTAGCAGTTCAAAGGCAAGAAATTGCAAGTAGATAAATAGGTACCACTTCGATGGGAAGGTAACAGCATTCCGTTCACCTCAGTGTTTAGTCATGCCAGCCACGTGACCACGGAGAAGTCTTTGGACAGCGCTGGCCCTTCGGCTTGGAAACTGAGATAAGCACTACCCCCTAGAGTTGGGTTCGACTGGCTTTCGGGCAAGGGAAACCTTTACCTTTACTTTTTGAATGTTTAAATAAGACCTTAGTTAGTAGGCAAAACGAAGATCGTGTCCATACATCTACTGATATGGCCTATAATAGGGGTCCCCAACATTTCTGGACTGGTGGGCACCTTTGAAATTCTGACACAGGGTATTGAGTGCAAGCATAAAATGGCTGCCGCAAGAGGCGGAGCCACCCTCACAACGGCTGCCGCAAGAGGAGGCGCCAACCACAGAAGTAAGGATCCTTGTGCTGTGGTGGCAGTTACTGCCCAAGCAACATTTTAAAAAATCTGCACAGCCAAACAGATCTCCAGTGGCCAATCAGAAGCCATGCTGGGCAAAAGCCCCATCTGGCCCCACCCACTTTCTAAAAAACACTTGGCGGGCACCAGGAAAGATGTCTGAGGATGCCTTGGTGGCACACTGGGGACTCCGGGCCTACAATGCCTGTCTTTGGGGAACATACCAGCTTTATTAGTTGTAGATTTTCTGGGCTGTCTGGCCGTGGCCTTGGCATTGTAGGACCTGACGTTTCAGCAGCAGCTGTGACTGGCATCCTCAGAGGTATTACACAGAAAGATGGAGTACTCTCGGTGTCAAGGTGAGAAGAAGAAAAATGGCAGGCAGGTAATTTATATCTACTCAGGAAGGTGGGGTAGGGCTGAGTCTTGTAAGAGTCTTGTAGGAGTTCCCCAGGCTGTGACATGCTTTTTTCCCTTCTCACCTTGACACGGAGAGCGCTCCATCTTTCTGTGTTATACCTCTGAGGATGCCCGTCACAGCTGCTGCCGAAACGTCAGGTCCTACAATGCCAAGGCCACGGCCGCACAGCCCGGAAAAATCTACAGCGACTAACGAGCTCCGGCCGCGAAAGCCTTCGGCGACATATTCCCGCTTTAATGAGGTTACACAATCTCATTTTTATAGGATAATCTCATTGCAAAGTCTTTCCACAGAGCAGTCAATTCTACTGGGGAATAGGCGTATGCAAATTTTTGAAGCACATATCATGCAAAGACGTTGCGAGTGCGCCTGTAACCTTACCTGGTTGCATGATACAGGATGACAAACGGTTGTAAAGCACAGTAGGGTCCCGTTCCGACAGGTGCATCTCACGCAGTGGCTGGCTTGCCACTCCACACCATCCTGGAACATCTGGCCATCGAAAGAGCAAGCCTCTAAGAAAAAAACAAAAAAAACCACACATTTTAAGGCAACAGGGTTATTTTCTCTGTCTCCCAGGAGCGTCCCAGAATTCATGAGGGTACCATTTCATTTCTGTAGGATGATGTCATCGCAAAGTCAGACGTCCCTGCGATAATTCTGTACTCGCTGTATCTTATAAATATGCCTCCCCGCGGTGAAATAAGAGATACACCCACACAAGAAGGCCTTCAAGTACCTCTTCCTGCGGTGGCATCGCCTCTGGGAAGTGCATTTATAGGAACAAAAATAAGCCCAGAAGATTACAGATATATCTCATCTCGCCTTAAGAGTTCCCTGTTAAAAACAAAACCTTACCTGGAACTTGGGACCAAACTGCAAAAATGTTTAAGGGAAAATACCATTAATGCATGATGTAATGCATGATGTAATACGCAAGAAAAACCAATAAATAAATATTGTCCAAGAAAAAGCTGCTTAGAATCACAGAATCCTAGAATCACAGAGTTGGAAGGGGCCAGACAGGCCACCGAGTCCCACCCCCTGCTCAATGCAGGATCAGCCTACAGCATCCCTGACAAGTGTTTGTCCAGCCGCTGCTTCCAGTGATAATGACTGGTGCAAAGGGCATTAGAGAAAGCCGGACAACTGGGTCCCATTCCCAGTAATTGCCAGAGGTTGCAGCTAGTGCAGAATGCTGCAGCTAGATCAAAGGACCAACTACCAGGAGCATATGTCCCCAATACTGCAGCAATTGCACTGGCTACCAATCTTCTCTCAAGACTAGAGATGTAAAATTTCCGGAAATTTTGAAGCATGGGGGAAAAACTGTTTTTTTCCGGGGGTTTTCGGGGGGAAACGGAAATTTTCAGAAAAATTGAAAAAAATGCTACATTAGCATTTCTTTTGTCTTTTCTAGTTTGAGAGTCATTCTGTTACTTTAGGAACATATAATATGACTATGGACATTTTTACTTGGCATGAAATTATCACAACTAGCATATTAAAAATATAGTGTATCCAAACAATGACTACAGAATACCCACCCACATGCAAAAACAAAACTGAACCTTTTTTATTTTCTTCTGACAATCGCACCTCCTAAAGGAAGAAATGCATCTTGTTCTTGCATTGGAGAGTTCAGTTTGTAACCTAGGACTTTATATATGACATGATTTGGAAAATATTTGAATACCTGGTCTTAAAATATTTTATTCATCATGTTAAATTAAAACATCCCATAATCAATTTTTTTTCTTTTCTTTTCTTTTTTCAATTTTTCCAATTTTTCGGAAAAAAACAAAAAGGCTTCAGGAAAAAAAAGCGTTTTTTCCCTAATTTTTCCAGGTTTTTTCCGGGCCTTTACATCTCTACTCAAGACCACTCCAAGGTGATGGTTTTGATCTTTAAAGCCCTACATGGCTTGGGACCAGGGTATCTGAAGGACCGTCTTCTCCCATACGTTCCTACCCAGGAACTAAGGTCCTAAGGAGAGGCCCTCTCCTGCCTGTCCCATTGATCACAGAAGCTCATCTGGTGGGTACGTGAGAGAGGGTGTTTGCAGTGGCAGCTCCACAATTCCTGGACAACGTCCCCAGGGAGGTGTGCCTGGCCCTGTCACTCTCCGTCTTTAGAAGGAGTGATTAAAATGTGGAATTCGCTGCCAGAGGTTGTATTGATGGCCACAGGAACAGACAGCTTTAAAAGAGGATTAGATAGACTCATGGAGGATAGGTCTATCAGTGGCTGCTAGCCATGGCGACTGGGGGGAACCTCCAAGTTCAGAGGCAGCCAACCTCTGAATCCCAGAGCCAGAAGGCAACATCAGGTAAAGGCCTCAGCCTCTATGCCCTGTTGTTGGCCCTCCAAAGGAACTGGTGGTCCACTATGTGAGGCAGGATGCTGGGCTAGATGGACCACTGGTCTCTGGTCGAGCAGGGCTCTTCTAATGTTCTTATAGATAGATTCATGGAGGAAGTCTATCAATGACTACTAGCCATGGTGACTATGGGGAATTTCCACATTCAGAGGGACTAAACCTCTGATTTCCAGAGCCAGGAGCCACCACCAGGGGAAGGCCTCAGCCTCTTTGCCCTGCTGTTGGTCCTCCAGAGGAACTGGTTGGCCACTGTGTGAGACAGGATGCTGGACTAGATGGACCACTGGCCTGATCCAGCAGGGCTTATGTTCCTAAGGCATGATGGCAATTGGTTAGTTCTTCTGCCTACCAGCAGTTTTAAATTATGGGTTTTAAACTAGTGGTGTTTTTGTATTTTACTGTATTTTATTATTGTTTACATCGTAAGCCGCCTTCAGCTCCTATAAGATAGAAAGACAGCCAATAACTGTTTTAAATAAAATAATAAATGTTTTTATGGCATGACTATGGTTTTCAGCTAAAAATTGGCCCCAAAGCAGCTTACACCAATCCAAACCTCTACAGTATCAATCACAGTGTCATTAAAAAGATGTTTTGAGACAAGAAATTAGCAAGAGTCCAGTTGCATCTTAAAGACTAACAAAATTTGTGGCCGGGGATGTGCTTCCGTGAGTCACACTCTTGCTTTTTCCTGCTGCTACAGACAGACTAACATGATTTGAGACAAGAGTTCTCGATGAAGTCTGAGTCCAGGCGTGACAGAAGGATAACCTCCGCCTTCTGGCTTCATCAATGGCTATTAATCCCTAGGAAAAGGGAGCCGTCAGCCAGAGTGGGCTTGGGGAAGGAAGTTACCTCAGTGGGCTATAGCACCATAGAGTCTGCCCTCCAAACCTGCCGTTTTCTCTAGGGGGACCGATTTCTGTAGTCTGGAAATCCGTGTTAATTCCAGATCTCCAGGCCCTACCTAGAGATTGGCAGCCCCATCTTTGAATCTGGCAGGCTGCCTGAAGAGGTACAAAAGGTGCTGTTTTTAGGAATACAGGTAGGGCAGTGCTTTTCTGCAGGACTTTCTGCTGACTCCACTCCTAGGGATGATCTCCATATATATATATTTGGACTGTTGTGATTTTGAGCTGTCTTTACTGTTATGTTGTGCTGATGTTTTCTAGTACTGGAGCTGATGGTGTACCATGCAGCTTAATTGTTCTATTGCTTTTAATGAAGCTGCTTTAAGACTGGGTGAAGCTGCCTTATACTGAATCAGACCCTTGGTCCATCAAGGTCAGTATTGCAACTCAAACTGGCAGTCGCTCTCCAAGGTCTCAGGTCTTTCATATTGCCCACAGCCTGGTCCTTTTAACTGGAGATGCCAGGGATTGAACCTGGGACCTTCTGCATGGCAAGCAGAGGCTCTTCCACTGAGCCACAGTGCCCTCCATAGCTCGACAGGGTCACAGGTAGAGGTCTTTCACATCACCTACTACCTGGTCCTTTTAACTGGAGATGCCGGGGATTGAACCTGGGACCTTCTGCATGCCAAGCAGAGGCTCTTCCACTAAGCCAACTTGAACTCCTTGGAAAGGCAGAAGGTTAAAACCATTTTAAACTAAATAAATTCGAAGTTGGAGTAGGGGGCTTGGCTGCTAAGTGACTTACAAAACACTGGGGAAACATGACCAGGGATTTCTCATTTGTCGGGATAGATAGATGATAGATAGATAGATGATAGATAGATAGATAGATAGATAGATAGATAGATAGATAGATAGATAGATAGATAGATAGACAGACAGACAGACAGACAGACAGACAGACAGACAGACAGATAGATAGATGATAGATAGATAGAAAACACGCCCCCCCCTTTCCACTCACTCACCTCCACTGCCAACACATTTTGAACAGCACTCTCCTTGACCGATGGATTCCACCTCTCCCCTCTTGCAAGAAAGATCGGGGCAGGGCTTGGGGGTGCAGACGACACTCCCGCTGTCACAAAAGCAGGTTGTACATCCAGAGTCGGCCCATTCACTACCATGCTGCAGGGAGAAACAAAGACGAGAGAGGAAGACGTAGCAGCCCACCGTGGGAAACAGCACAACGAAAGAGGCACACAAGACACCCTTTCTCCGCATTGATCTTCCCGCTGCCTATCCTTTTCCCCCCGGGGGGGGGGGGGGGGGGGTAAATCTAAGAAAATCAGGCCATATATCTAAATATTTGCTTATGTTCCTATAATATTCCTGAACAAATGTTGAAAATGCAAACAGTACCGACTTGCTTTAAAGCTGGAAAGTACATTTAGATCTTTGTTGTGTTTACCATGTTTCTTCGTTCACGCCAACGCATGCCCCTTGGTAAAAATATCCTTTCAGTCAGAGATATCTAGCACTCGCATTAGTGGAATAAGCAAGGATACGACACATGCAATCAGGAAGGAAGAGATCTAACTTCATAAGACATAATAGCAGCCCGAAGGATAGCCCAAAAAGGAGGATCGAGCCGAGCGTTCTGTTTCCAACTATATCTAAATTGTGTAAGGCCCCAGTCACACGGGCCAAATATTGCGGGGGGGGGGAGGCG